TTCAATAGACAGTTTGTTTACATCTAAGTTGGCTCGGGTGAACATTTCCTGTGCAAATGCCGTGAATGTTTTGTACACTGTTATTTCACAAACACCTTGTCCCTTTAAAAATTCATATTGAACCATTATTTTTAAGTATTTTGTATATCAATGTGACCTGTAACAATTTATGCATATTACCTACTTTTTACGCCTTTCCGTACCGTTTCAAATGAATTTGTAAGGGGTTCTGCCATCACTCACGCCAAGTTGGCAATATTGTCAAAATTATGGAAAATCAGGTCGGACAAGATTATATGCATCCATAAAATCTGAAGAGCAAAAACTTGTTCGCCAAATCAGAGGCAAGTACCCCGAGACGAGCGACTCCGGTGGTTATGAAACTCGGAACTTAACGGAAACGGATCTTCGCCCTTCTTAAATATGCACAAAAGGTTAGGTGCTTCTCAGTAAAAAAATCGCTGGTTATACTCGATGAACCACCGTTCGAGTTTGCGTTCACGCGGTTTTGATGGCATCCAATTTTTTGGCAGAACAACAGCCAACAGATTTCGACCGTACTGATGATATCATACCCTTCGAGCTAAGCTTTATAAGGTACCACGGTGGATCACTCGAACGCGACCTTTAAATTACCTGACTTATCCAGCAAGGCCGCAAAAACCAAAATATTATCAAAAAGCTCCTCCGAAGAAGGAGACGGGTTTTAATATATTGAGGTTTGGTTTTCTGTCAACTGGACAGAGCAGGGGGACGCAGCCACGCGAATTTATACTACACGAGGTTTCAACAAGTATTCGGAGGCAGCTTTGGATCCCCAGCGCGATCTGTTTACCTAATTGCAAATGGCACGACATTCATAATTTGTTATTAATAGGTTCTAAATTGCAAAATCTTTGGATTACGGATGATTGCCATCCACTGCACGCAGCGACAGACTTCGGTGCTAAATTGAGCCAGGTGACATGCCAGTCTCACAAAGTACGGGAACAGAGGTGCGCTTGAGGTCATTTGCACCAAGTTTGTCCATTCAACGGTCGCAAAATACGGGGTTCACTGTGCTCCACAAAGCATGTTGGACGCAGCGCGGTAACGGCGCGAGCTAACTTATAGTGAAAGCAGACGCGAAAAATCCGTTGCACTCTTCCCTCTCTCACCCACTTAAACCGGTGGCAAGACAGAGTCAGGGCGACCCAACGCGAGTTTAGGTGCAGTGGCTGCCAAGGCTACACAGTTCGTGTAAGCCTTTCACACGCGGCCTGGTTCGCGCTTACCCTGTCCTTTTCCTTGATTCGGTTAGCTCCTGTTTTTGGATGAATTGGCTTCACGGAGTTAATTGATAGCGACGGTCCATTGGTGGCGGTGAGAATCTAACTCCTCGCAAATGTCAAACTAGTGTTTGTTTGAGTGTCGCAAGCCGTAACCGGTTACGGGACCCATGCGTTCGACGTCTAACTTGACAGTGTTCAGCCACGTCTACAGATGGCCGCTATGTCGCTATTTCCAGTTGGAATTACGAGAGGGATTCAAAACCACTCTGCAGAGGTCTGTCGGTGGCTTTCGCAGGACATGTCAAAACCATTACAATCGAGGACGCTGGATCTATGACGCTAGAAT